TCATTTACTCCTTCCTCATATTCCACTTTTATCCTTGTATTTTCATACGTCTTCCCAGAAATTCCCTTTGTGACTAGAGCGAGGCGCTGCTCCTGCTCACCCACCACTCAAGACCGCGTCCCACACGCGCCAAACTTCCGGGAAATACCCCTCCCAAACCCTCTGCGACGACGACGCGCACCACCTGGCACCTATCAACATGACTTACTCTCTTTCCTGACCACATACCCAAACACCGGACGCTCACACGCCTCCGAAACGCGCCAAACTTCCAGGAAAATCCCCCAAAACCCTTGAGGACTAGACACCTGCGCACCACCTGTCGGGTAGCACTCACCTGAGTGCCACCTGGCAGGTGGTGCGCGTCGCTCTAGTCACACTTTACACTACTCTCACCATACCAGGTCCACAAAACCAGCATCATGGTCATCATACCAGGTCCACACCACCAGCATCACGGACCTCACTATACCAGGTCCACATCACCAGCATCAGGGTCTTCACCATACCAGGTCCACACCACCAGCATCACGGTCCTCACGATTCCAGGTCTACACAACCACCAGCATCATGGTCCTCACCATCAACATTATGGTCCTCACCATACCAGGTCCACACCACCACCAGCATCATGGTCCTCACTATAACAGGTCCACACCACCACCATACATATGGTCCACACCATACCAGGTCCACACCACCACCTGCATCATGGCCTTCACTATAACAGGTCCACACCACCACCAGCATCATGGTCCTCACCATACCAGGTCCACACCACCACCTGCATCACGGTCCTCACCATACCAGGTCCACAACAGCAGCATCATAATCCTCATAATACCAGGTCCACACCACCAGCATCACGGTCCTCACCATACCAGGTCCACACCACCAGCATCACGGTCCTCACCATACCAGGTCCACACCACCAGCATCACGGTCCTCACCATACCAGGTACACACCACCAGCATCATGGTCCTCACCATACCAGGTCCACACCACCAGCATCATGGTCCTTACCATACCAGGTCCACACCACCCTCTGCATCATGGTCCTCACTATACCAGGACCACACCACCACTAGCATCATGGTCCTCACCATACCAGGTCCACAACACCACCAGCATCATGGTCCTCACCATCAACATCATGGTCCTCACCATACCAGGTCCATACCACCACCAGCATCATGGTCCTCACTATAACAGGTCCACACCACCACCAGCATCATGGTCCTCACCATACCAGGTCCACACCACCACCTACATCACGGTCCTCACCATACCAGGTCTACAAGACCAGCATCATGGTCCTCATCATACCAGGTCCACACCACCACCTGCATCACGGTCCTCACCTTACCAGGTCTACAAGACCAGCATCATGGTCCTCATCATACCAGGTCCACAATACCAGCATAACGGTCCTCACCACACCAGGTGCACACCACCAGCATCATGGTCCTCACCATACCAGGTCCACACCACCAGCATCAAGGTCCTCATTATAACAGGTCCACACCACCTGCATCACGGTCCTCACCTTTCAAGGTCCACACCACCTGTATCACGGCCCTCACCATACCAGGTCCTCACCATACCAGGTTCACACCACCAGCATCCCATGTCACATGTCACATAAAATGGGACAGCTTAGCTGTAAATCTAGTGAGTTGTAATCAGCTGCTACGCTCCACCGACGACGTGTTGCATAGGGTAAATTGTTGCATGGAACGGTGAGAAGCCTAGCACCATGGTTGACGTCGCATTGGTAATGAAAGGCATATTTCTAACATTGTAGAAATCTTCTACATAATAAGTTACTGCAAATAAATCCTAAATCATGAGGATAACTGTAGGAAATTTCAGCCAATATCTGTGCAATTTATATTCAAGCACTGTAAATTTCTTCTATAGAGAAATAATGCAAATAATCGTCTATTTAGATTGTAAAATTACTCAAGACACGTACGGGATTTGTTTGTTTGTTCTATGTCATAACGACAACTAGCCTAAATGTTAATTGTGGCCACATAATAACAAAAAGGTAAACCTAGCTGCCGAACCCTGTGTCCGTTGATGTGGAGACTTGAACAATTCTTCGTCCTCCAGCTGCTGCTTGAAAGGCGTTGACTTTGGAATTGCTCATATGCTAGTCGAGGACACGGCTATTGTGCCAGATAACGTGGCACCGCTCTACTGGTCGTGGGAGCGAAATAAATGGGATCAAAACGTAGCTCTGCTACACGCTGTCAATGGCGTCCACGTCGTGCTCTCTCGTGTCTGGTGTCGCTCTCCTGTCTTCCTCCTCTTCCTTATTGCGCATGCGCGGCTCTCGATAGACATCTTGAGCGTAAATGTATATGTATATATAGCAATTGACTAAGAAAGGAAGAGGTAGTGACGAGTATTAATATCACATTAAATTCTTCTGTGATAAAATAGAATTTCGTGTAACATAAATTGATTTATTAAAGTTGTGCAGCTAATCGAGGAAATTAAGGTAAAATCATTCACATTAAAGTAATTTCCTCTAGAATGTTTAATATCAACTAAATAAGGGAGTTCCAGTAAGTAGTAGTATGTTACGAAATTAAACTTATTAGTAAGTAACTATTTTTAGTAAAGGAAATGATAAACTGGACTCTTGTTATAAATCCAACTAAATGTGGAGAGAATTCATGTTACTGCCTGTCGTTCCTCATGTCGTCACTCTGACTAGGAAGAATCTGCCAATATCTAAATAAATCATGATAATGATCAAATCTACATGTTAGTAATTTTAGTAACTACTTATGGTTAATACAAAGATGTATAAAACTGTTGGTTATTTCCAACATAAATCAGGGGAGAGAAAACTAGTTCAGGTATTAGTACTAACATACACCTGTTTCTCTATCCTGAAGTTATATTCATGGGTTAGTAGGTTAGTACGTACCTAACGAATGTCCCGAATCTGTGGTAGATGACTCTAAGTCAACATGGGGATGTAAATAAACATTGAAAATTATTGAATAATTCCTTTGTAAGAAACAGGACATTAACAAAAATAAATTATGAAAAATTGGTTCATTTAAGATTAAGGAGACTTCATCAATACACTTAGGCTACTGTCCAGGGTCACTATGACTCGTAAATAATTACTGGACATCAACTCATCACTGCATCAGCGTGGTCACCTCAAGTTTAAATGATAGGCTATCTACTCTTGAATAGAATCAAAATTTTTTTAAGTTTCTGCTTGCAGTTCTGAGCAGCGACTCTTGATGGTCTTGTGCTCGGTTGAGTAGAATCATTGTTCTCTGAAACTTGGGTTACAGGTATATCTGTAGAACACTCGTGTTCTGCTAACTCTAAAGGTACTAATTTCTCTAGTGTTTTCAAGGTAGTAGTGCCTCGACACTGAACTTTAACAATTCGTAATACACCATGGCGGTCAGGATGGATGTCAACAATTTTACCTATAGGCCAATCTGACCTGGGTCCATCACTGTCTACTAGGACAAGATCACCTGGTTTAAGTTGAACTTTATTGTATGGGCTTGCAGCTCCATAATGATATTCTCTTAAAGCAGTTAAATATTCACGTGTCCAGACCTCATTCCATTTCTCTATTACTCTTGAAAGGTGTCTATAACTCTCCCCCAAGTCACTTGCTTTGACACACGAAGGGTCAGCTGGATCCTCGTCTCCTAGAGATATTAGAGGGCTCAGAAGACCACCATGAATCAAATGAGAGGGGCTAAGGGGTTCTCTTTGGGAGAAATCTTGTCAAGTAGGTTAGAGGTCTGTTGTTGACTCGTGCTTCAATTTCCACGACAAGGGTCTGTAACTCGGTGAGATTAATTTTCTACCGGTGTAAGGTTTTTCTTAGGCATTTCTTAACAGTTCCCACCATTCTTTCGTAAAAACCGCCGTGCCATGGTGCTCTTGGAGGAATAAATTTCCAATAGCATTGTCTCTGTTTGAGCACAGAGTGTACTTCTGGATGTTTCCATATTTCTTGTAAGCAAGCTTCTCCTGCCACGAAGTTAGATCCATTATCTGAGATCATTAATTTTGGGCAAGATCTTCGTGCAGCAAATCTGCGAAAGGCTAGCAGAAAGGCTTCTGCACTCATGTCAGAAGTGACTTCTAAATGTACTCCGCGTGTGGTAGCACACGTGAAAAGGCAAATCTAGGCTTTCACTTGAATCTTGTCCGGTGTGCCTGTTAAAATTAGTGCTCCTGTATAGTCGACACCTGTGGTTTCAAAGGGGCGAAGGTGGACGACTCGCTCCTTAGGTAGGGGCGGTGGCCCTGGATATGGACACACTCGAGCATCATATCTCTTGCAGATTACACAAGACTTTATTAAAGATTTGACAGTTTGGCGACCTTGGGGAAGCCAAAAACGTTGTCTGATTTCAGTAAGAATATCTAATACTCCACCATGCAATGTATTATGCTCATGGTAACTCTTAGTAATTTACTTAAATTAGAATAACGATGAGGATTGATAGCTAAAGTTCGAGGGGGTTCTGGATCCACAACAGGGGTAGTGACATTGGTCACAATGACTTGCGGCTTCTGTTGAGGCCACTGAACACTAACTAGCCATTGGGGTCCATTAAACCATATCTCGGTTTTAACTAAATGCTTTAAAGTCAAACCTCAGGATAAATAGTCAGCTGGATTGTCCTTGGTTGGGACATGTCTTAATTTATAACCAGCAGACAATTCTCGAATTTCCCTTACTCGATTGCTGACATAGGGAGTTTTGTTGTTGTCGTTTTTTACCTACTGCAATACTGCCTCATTGTCTGACCACACCTACTAATAAGGCAGTTAATTCCATTTGGGGTAGTGACCTCCTCTTAATCGGGGCAACCCTTGCCTTAGATGTAAGCAAAAATGATTGTTGAGTATTAACTAGATAGGCTACTGAGCCATACACTTTGCCTGAAGCATCGCAGAATACATGTAAATTTGAGGGTAAATTTAGTCCTAAGGTATTTCAGGGAAACTGTAGAATACTAAGTTTGTTGTAATCAGGAATCAACTGCTGCCATTTTTCTTGGAGATCCTCCGGCAACGTTTCATCCCACCTCAAATTTCTTTGCCAGCACTCCTGCATAAGGAGTTTACCCTTAATTAGAATAGGACTGAGTAGGCCTAAAGGGTCAAATGGTTTGCTGACATGGGAGAGTAGTTTTCTCATGGTTAGAGGTGAATGATTGAAATCCACCAACTTGATATTCAATTTGTCTGTAGAAGTATTCCACTCCATACTTAAGACTTTCAATTTGTGAGGTACCTTATAATCAGGGAATTCTTCCTCGATTATATGGTTGAGTTGTTTATTATTGGAGGCCCACGACTGTAGGGGCATGTTAGCTCCCAACAGTTCACGATTAGCCTCATGGTAGATTTCCACTAGTTTATTCTCATCATTAGTGGTTCCTTGAAAATTATCAAAGTATAAATTGTTGCTAATCTCAGTCTTGTAGGGGCTATTAGACTTCTTAAGATGTGTATCCAGAGTAGCCTGGAGTAAGAATGGTGAAGATGTCGCTCCGAACAGTACTGAGGCAAATCTATAAGTAATGATTTCGCTGTTAGGATCCTGTGCATCTTTCACCCAGAGAAATTTAGTAAAATCACGATCCGTCTCTTGTAAGCCTACTCTTAAAAAGGCCTTACTAATGTCCGCCGTATAGGCAAAAACACCAGAGCGAAATCGTAATAAGACATCTTGTAATCTTTGGGTTAGGCTAGGTCCAGTTTGTAGACAATCATTTAGTGACATGCTGTCTGCCTTTAATTTGGCACTACAATTAAATACAATCCTGATTGGTGTTATAGCTGAATCTTTCAGGACAGCATGATGTGGCAAATAATGGCCTGTCTTATGGTTGTCTTCTTCAACAACTTCTATAAATTTGTTAGCAAGTTGTTGATATATTAAAGCATGATACAGTTGCAATTTATCTGGTTGCTTCCATAGCCTAGCTAATTGAGAATTTAATTGGGTTGAGGCCATGAAATAATTTACTGGAAGCTGTGGGTGGTTCAGCTTCCACGGGAGTCTCACCCAATATTGATTATCTTGGAAAATCACAGTATCAAGATATTGTTGATACGTCCATGTGTCATCTGGACTGGGTTGATCAGGGACTATGCCTAAGGTGTCCAAATCCCATAATTTGTGAACAGGGGCATTGGACTCATCATCCTCAATTTCGTCTCTGTCATGTAGTGGTGACTGCTCTAGGCCTAGTCACGCCACTATTGAATTAGTTGGTTGTTTACTAGTAGATTTAGAATGTTGTTGGATCAACACCGGTCCTGTGAGTAGTTTATCCCCAGCTGACAGTAACAAGTTTACACCTCGTTGCCTGGTGCATCCAGTAATAAATCTATAATAAAAGTCAGCTCCAATAAGAATACCTACATCGTTGAGACAGTCTGTATTTATTTTATGATCCGCTAGCCTAATACCGCTGCATTTAAGAAATTTGACTGTTTGAGCAAGACCTGTAACATGTATCTCTGAGGGGATCTTGTCAACGACTATGGCTTGAATTGGGCTGGTGCAACGTACCAAGACTTTAACAACCTGGTAGTCACGAGGTCCACTATTAGTTAGGAATCCAGAGATATTCAAATTCACTCGAGCAATAGGCTTCAGTTTCAACTGATCAACTAGCTGTTGAGAAATAAAGGTTTTCTGCGAACCTTGGTCAAAGAGACCACGAGTGGAAATTCTAGATCCCTTGGTAATTAATTTTAATTGAACTGTTAGTAACGTAGTTGTGTTATTCAACTCTGTTGCAAGTACACTTATGTCTTGATGCACCTTGCAATACTGTACAGAAGTAAATTTTGTAGTCTTCTTATGAGGATTGCTTGATCTTGATTGATCACTACCACACAAGGAATAATGGTGTCTACCCTTGTGGCACTTGTTGCACATACGTAAGGAGACAGTACAGCTAATGGGGTCATGAGGACCCTTGCATCTGTGTAATTCTTGCAAACAATGAATTCGGGTGTTATGGACTGGATAAGTACTACACTTATAAGTAAGATGTTCATTAATGCAGAACAAACACCTTTTCACTGAAGGAGTGGTGCTCACTACAAAGTTTATAGGATTCATTGTGTATGTACCTACATTTCCAGATTTCCATTTCGGAGATGATTTATTGAAATCTGGTTTTGCTACAGTAATTGCAGTACGTTGGGGGTCATGATGAGAGTTAGTAGAGAAGTTTGAAACACTCTTCCCATCTTGGTTGGCTCTTTGTCTTTCGACTAGGGTATGTAAACCTTCTGTAATTTCATTCATGGTTAGAGAGGTTTTATTGTACATAGTACACAATTTATCTAAAGTTTCTCTTGGTAATTTGCGCCTTACAACTACTTTTGTCATCCATTCAGCAGTCTGAATTTGGACTTTAAGGCTTAAGGCCTTGAGTAAAGACTCTAGCTCTAGTCTGAAAGTTTGGAGAGAATCTGTAGAATTATTAGCAGATGGTAAATACAGCAATTTTTGGACTAAGATAGTAATAGTCCTTTCCTTGTTATCGTAGTTGCTCTTAAGCAATTGAACAGCTAGGCCGTAACCATCACTAGTCAGTGTTTTGTTACAGATTACCTTCAAGGCTACATTTCGTAACAAGCCTTGTAAATAAGTGAACTTGGTTGTTTGAGGGATGTTAGTTTTAGAGTCCACGAATTTACTCCAGAAATCATCCCAACTCTCATTCACGTTACCAGAGAATGTGGGTATATTGATCTGAGGTAATTTGACATCACGATCTGGATGTGCAGTAGAGGCTGTTGTTAATTTGTTTTTAGCAATTTGCTTTTTGAAGGGTTGAAGTTTAACCTGTACATCATCTTCGTACTGGGTTAAATCATTTACAATGTCCTCAAGTTCAGTTTCACCTATTGAAGTTTGGTAAAGTTCTGTCAAGTACAGATTCATATGTTGCTTAATATTCTTGAATTTACCTTCAGCAACTTGAAGTAAGTCCTCTAATTCAATGTAGTCAACAGGTGACTGTTGTGACAGATTTTGACACTTGGTAATCTGTCGGGTCAAGTGACCTTTCAGACCGATAAGGGTCCTTTTCATTTTGTCAGCCGCTTCCATCTTGCTGGGTAAGGGCTGGTCTGATAGTAAATAGTTGTTACTGATGTAACTGGGATATTGGCTCATTCAATGGAGTTCAATATCAATATAATAGCCAAATGTATTTGAATAGACTATACTACCCCGTTTAGAGGTTAATTTACCTACCTAACAATGGATAGCTAATATTTTGAGCAGTACTCGAATGCCACTATTGGATTTTCGTCCGGCTAGCTCTTCAATTATCACCATTCGATCCAACAGTGAACATTCGGCAGTACTCAAAAAAATAATACACGAAATAATATGTTAAAAGCACAAAAAGGGTTTTGATGATCCCACCCCAAATCAGGGTCAGCACAATCTAAATAATATGTATGTACACCAGTACTGTCTAGTACAGTACTTGCTAAATAATTCCTACATAGGAATGACTAAATGGTTTAGGCTGCATTTGTACAAACATTACTACAATTACAGTCTAAATATCTTACCTCATCAAAGGTTGGCATATATGCAATGGTGCAGTAATATAGATATATAGTGCTATGTTTTTGGGATTTTTTGTTTTGATATATAGGTTTGTGCTTAGAAATACAAGTAAAATTATAAATGTATAACACTAAGGCTTCTTCATGCTTAAAGTATTAATAGAAATGTTGATAATAATCAATAAATTTTAGGCTGTAATATGGGCAGTCTGCTGACAGCCGTAAATAATGAAATATACTGGTAAATAGCCTAAAAATGTTAACACACTAGTTGGTGTTAGTAAATAAGCAATTATATGGTGTGTAGGATAGCTTAATTCTCAGCTCTCTAGGTTCGAAGGACCAAAATTTTGTGCGGGAAAACCTGACTCCAATAACTAATAATTAAATATATACTTCGATAGCTATGAAGGACCACCACTTTTTGAGAAAAAGTGGACAACAAAATAAAGCAATGGAAAAACTGATCCCTAGAACTAGTGTCCTATGGATCTTAGTGAAACTGTATTCCTGATATAAATGGAGTCAAATTAACTTACACAAAATTTGGGGGTTACATGCTAAAAGATTAATACATCCCTAGCATTATTCTGGTGCTGGTTCTTCACCAGAGTAAATAAAATATGAAAGTAAATAAGATTGAATATATAATATTAATTGAAGGTAAATGCTCCACAATATACTACTGAAATGTTGATCAGCATCAGTAAATCAATGGGTTAATGAAATTGATCTCTTCGATAGATCACTACTGTAACTAGAGCGTTATTGCAACAGATAAAAAAGGGACAGCTTAGCTGTAAATCTAGTGATGCGTAATCAGTTGCTACGCTCCACCGACAACGTGTTGCATAGGGTAAATTGTTGCACGGAACAGTGAGAAGCCTAGCACCTTGGTTGGCATCGCATTGGTACTGAGAGGCAATTACATTGTAGAAATCTTCTACATAATAAGTAACTACAAATAAATCCTAAATCATGAGGATAACTGAAGGAAATTTCAGCCAATATCTGTGCAATTTATATTCAAGTACTGTAAATTTCTTCTATAGAGAAATAATGCAAATAATCATCTATTTAGATTGTAAAATTACTCAAGACACGTACGGGATTTGTTTGTTTGTTCTATGGCATAACGACAACTAGCCTAAATGTTAATTGTGGCCACATAATAACAAAAAGGTAAACCTAGCTGCCGAACCCTGTGTCCGTTGATGTGGAGACTTGAACAATTCTTCGTCCTCCAGCTGCTGCTTGAAAGGCGTTGACTTTGGAATTGCTCATATGCTAGTCGAGGACACGGCTATTGTGCCAGATAACGTGGCACCGCTCTACTGGTCGTGGGAGCGAAATAAATGGGATCAAAACGTAGCTCTGCTACATGCTGTCAATGGCGTCCACGTCGTGCTCTCTCGTCCTCTCGTGTCTGGTGTCGCTCTCCTGTCTTCCTCCTCTTCCTTATTGCGCATGCGCGGCTCTCGATAGACATCTTGAGCGTAAATGTATATGTATTTATAGCAATTGACTAGGAATGGAAGAGGTAGTGACGAGTATTAATATCACATTAAATTCTTCTGTGATAAAATAGAATTTCGTGTAACATAAATTGATTTATTAAAGTTGTGCAGCTAATCGAGGAAATTAAAGTAAAATCATTCACATTAAAGTAATTTCCTTTAGAATGTTTAATATCAACTAAATAAGGGAGTTCCAGTAAGTAGTAGTATGTTACGAAATTAAACTTATTAGTAAGTAACTATTTTTAGTAAAGGAAATGATAAACTGGACTCTTGTTATAAATCCATCTAAATGTGGAGAGAATTCATGTTACTGCCTGTCGTTCCTCACGTCGTCACTCTGACTAGGAAGAATCTGGCAATATTTGTAAATTAATCATGATAATGATTAAATCTACAAGCTAGTAATTTTAGTAACTACTTATGGTTAATACAAAGATGTATACAACTGTTGGTTATTTCCAACACTCACCATTCCAGCTCCACACCACCACCTGCATCATGGTCCTCACCATGCCAGGTCCACAGCACCATAATCATGGTCCTCACCATACCAGGTCCACAGCACCATAATCATGGTCCTCACCATACCAGGTCCACCTCACCACCAGCATCATGGTCCTCACCATACCAGGTCCACACCACCACCAGCATCATGGTCCTCAGCACCATAATCATGGCCCTCACCATACCAGGTCCACACCACCAGCATCATGGTCCTCACCATACCAGGTCCACACCACCATCTGCATCATGGTCCTCACCATACTAGGTCCACACCACCAGCATCATGGTCCTCACCATACTAGGTCCACACCACCAGCTTCATGGTCCTCACCATACCAGGTCCACACCACCATCTGCATCATGGTCCTCACCATACTAGGTCCACACCACCATCTGCATCACAGTCCTCACCATACCAGGTCCACACCACCAGCATCATGGTCCTCACCATACCAGGTCCACACCACCAGCATCATGGTCCACACCATACCAGGTCCACACCACCAGCATCATGGTCCTCACCATACC